CTATATAAATTGGATGGATGGATGGATGGATGGATGGATGGATGGATGGATGGATGGATGGATCTTTAAACATTGTCTGTCAAAAGGCTGCCTACTCCTGCATCAGACAATGAGAATAAAAAGGAAGAGCAGGAATGTAAGTATCTGAGTGTGGGACAGACTGCTCAGCTGGCAATGTTGATTATGCAAAAAGCTGCTTTGTTAGCATTTTTTCATCAGTTTTTGTGCTCTACTTTTCTTTAAGCACTTCATTAAAGGCAAATCTATTGTTTCAAGTAGAACACTAGGCAATAGAGATAAACATTAGGAATCCAACTTAAACAGCATATTAATCAATTGCATCTTTAGATGAGGATGCCTTCTCAAACCAATATAAGCATCTAGATGTTTTGGGTCCACTTGAAGTACTGTCAACTTAGGCATTTGCAATCACTTTGCTTTTATCTCTTTGTATGCTGCTCATCAGGTGACAGGGTTATAGAACAGGGTTAAAACAGAGTGCCCAATATCTTGACACAAACAGAAACAGACCAAATTTTGTCTTGCTTGAAATAATGCAGCCTGCTGGGAAATAATATTCAAGCCACAAAATTATGCTAAAGGAAAAAAGAAAGTGGAAGACAAAGGGGCATATTTAGTTTTACAAACATCACAATCCATGCATGTTTTCTCAAAAATAAATTCCACTGTGTTCAACAGGCCTTTTGCTATATGAATGTGCATATGATTGCATTAACTGACATTCCTAACAAAGCGGAAGTTATTACAACAACAGAATAGAAATAAATTAAACATTTCATCAGCAATTTCCCAGGAAAGAGTTCATATTAATCCAGCAAAGCATATCCATACATATCTTGTGCATAATTTACGGGGATGTAAATGAACTTCTACAGTTGCATATCATAATACAGTAATCATTCTTCTGAGGCTGTAATTCTGAATCCAGTTAAAATCCTCAAGGTTCATATTCACACATGCTTGTTAAGAAATTGGATTCCTTCAGTCTTGTCATTCCTTGACATATATTTTGACACAATAATTGCAAATCTTGGGATTTTCCCAAAGATTGTGATATTGCTTTCTTGTTTCTCATTTGCACCATTCTTTCTATTATATAGCTGTCATAATGTAGCACTTGAATTTGTATGACTGCAAACTTCATTCAACAGTCTGCTGATTTTGACTATGTATTGTTGAGGTTGGGTGGCCAGGATACTGCTGGCATACCATTTTAAGTGTTTAATAGTTTCCCTTCCACTATGATTTCTATTACTCTAGATTTCAAGTTCTGGAGCTGTAATATCCATGTTGAGGCTTCTTAGTCCAGTGTTCATCACTGTTGTTCAGGATTTTATATTTGCCATAACAACCATAAACCAATTAAAACAGTCCATCCCAGGCACCTTGACAGCATAAGTAGATCATATCAATAGCTTGTAAAAAACCGATTATGGTCATTCCCTTATTTCCTGAGACCAAAAAGCTCTCAGTCCCATATCCGAGAAGAAGTCAATTCTATATTTTTCCACTGCCACCTGTATATAATACTGACAGAACCCTGGCTGATCTGTATAATATAGAAATGATGGTGAAAACCCTTAATAAATAGAGAAATTACTCCCTCTGGGATACGGAACTGAGAATGAAGGAGTAGCCATAATAGTTCTCTTGCTGATATAACCTACTACAATATCTTCCTGGATTGCTCATTTGGGCATTGGGAAGTCCTTCCTATTTGGATGTGTCCAGTAGGTGGTGTAACTCCCTGGAATTTGGCCTATGCTATGCCACAGACAGCCATCTTATTTTCTACACTCTTTCCTATTTAAATGAAACCATTGAAAGAGGTTATCCAGGAGGCTGGATGTTGGAGGAAAAGTGACTTACACTCTAGTGCTGTTGAATTCTCCTCAAGTTCAGTAATAGGATGGGTAATGGTAAACAGGCTGAAATTAAATACAGATGAGACATGGGGATATTGGTAAGTAGGAAAGCAAACTTTGGTTTTGGAGATTAATCTGCCTTAGAGGGGGTTAGATTTCTGAAAAAGGAAATCTGCAATCTGAGAGTACCTTAATGCTTAATTGTCTCCAGAGGTGTGTTTCCACAATTGTGTGAGTCACCTGCAATTGTTCCTGAACCATTTGGATGAAGCAAATTATTCAGATTTGTGCCTCAATTGTGTTACAATTAAAATATTGTAATTGACTTCATGTATTTAATTGTACTGTTTTTATTTATTTAGAATGAACCTATTTTTATGTTCTGCTTGGGCAGATAGGCAAGATAATAATAAAACCAATCTCTCAATCAACTTTTCTTACTGCAAATGTTGTTTTTTAAGGTAGCGTATAAAACAGGTTTGGCCATAAGGAACAAGCAGATTGCCATCATAATCTTAACCTTAAATAATACCTCTGCTAAAAAGGGTCATTATATGATTGAATTTCTCAACAGGTATTCATCTACAGAGTTGGAACGTTTTTAAAAAAATATATAAAATTACAGGTACATACACAAAAAAACTCAGTATAATGCTGTGAATTACAGTTAAGAAGGCTTAAAAGCCCAAAAGTGAGAGTACATAAATAACATATGCCTAAAATCATCAGTTAGTACTTAACTATGCAGATGAAGTAATAAAAGTTCCAAATATTAATTCACTGGAAACCAAATATAAAATTCCCAGCTAATTTTTATTAAAAAAAAAAATCAGTAAAAATATTTTTGATTTTTAACTTCCTAGCTCCTCCTCCTACCTGTAGAATTTTTTGTTTCCCCTATAATTTCTTCTCATACTTTATAATTAAGGCCGTTCAGAGGAGTAACTGCTTCATTTTAACATTTGGATACTTACCTTTTAATTTTAACTTTACAATTATTAGATTTATCCCAACTGTTTAAATGATATTAACAGCACATTGGTGCTCTAAAACTAAATAATGTCTAGTAGATATATATTAGTAGAATAACACTAGACAAATATTTGCTTGTTCTGATAGGCTTTTCCCATTCCCAAACCTTTTTATTATGTTCTCTACTTTCCCTCCTCTACTGTCTCCTTGACCAGCACAGTATTCTAATTAAGTATGAACTCTAATATAGTACTACTTTTGTTATCATTTAGAACAAACATTGCTTAGGCAATCTTCCCCAGATTTGTACTTTCCAAGGTCATAGACTTATTAGTCCATAGGAAAAAAATAACATGAAATCCATACAAAATAATAATTCAGCGCTTCTTTTTAAAGCTTAATAAATTACATTAATAAACTGCTTCAGCAAAATAGTCAAAAGGGATAGATTGATTTATAGTTCTCCAAGACCACCTTAGACATTATGCAGTTACACTCAAGATTTCATCAAAATACAATAGTCCACAATATTAAAATCCACTAGGAAAAAAGAGAGAGAGATATGCATTCCATATGCTATGGATTGCTGGATTAAAGTCATGTCAGGATTAAAATCCATAAACCAGAGTGAAAATAACTCAAGAAAGGAAGTGTAGCAAAGGAAAATCTCAGATTGGGTGTTTGCACCAGCTTCCTACTCAAACAACTGCTTAAGAGACTGCAGGAAGACCAAAGGCATACAGGGGAAGGAGAAACAAAGACACATACATTATGACATCATCACACAAAATCTGTGGCTTATATACTTGCATCAGATATTGGAAAACAAGTTGCAGATTTCTGGGTGAGGGAATGATTAACTAGATGTCTCCAAAAGAGCAGAGACAACAACGCGGCAGTGACTGAAGGACCGGTGGTAACCTCAATCCAGTGGAACCTCTCTGGTTAAGGAGAGGACGAGAGATCGCCCACCTGTGTGCTCCATATGGCTGCTCCTTGCAAGGAGACTGCAGAAAGTGATTGTCCCATGGATCTGAACTTTGGGAGTTGAGGAAAGCTATCAACTGCAGTGGAGCCTTTAAGGATACTGGGTTTGTCCAACCTCACCTTCTAATCGCTTTTGGATTTACTTTTGGATTTACAATTATTTCAAAGTTAAAAGAGGTCTTCCAAACAACAAGTTTGAAAAGCTACCTGGTGCGTAAAACGTCATCCTAAAAGAGAAGAAAAATTACTAACAGTTTAAGGAATTTAAAGAATAAAAAATAAATGGCAAAAAGCTAAATAAGAATTTAATCTAAGAAAGTTTTAAAAGAAGTAAGGGACCAGACAATATTAGGACTTTTGCTAAGACATTGGAAAAACTGACTAAACAAAACAATATTTTTGTGGGAACATGAAATGTTTAATCTGTTAGGAAAGAGTTCATTGGCTGAAAGTTGAAAATAGAAACAAAGAAACTTGAGATCTTGTGAATACAGAAATGGGACATTAGAGGGGACTAAAGTTCCAGGCAGGACAAAGAAAGGTGAAATTTACAAAATAACAGACAAAGGTATGACACTTGAGACATTTCAAAGGATTTTTTAAGAATTGGAAGAGAAACTTATAACTTAACTGACATCAATAATCTCTGCACCTGTAAATGCATTCTTTGAAGAAGATTCTAAAGAAGAAGTCAAAGATGTGAAAGAGAACAACATGGAAGAATTTATAGACAGGCAGGACGAAGAGGTCAAATAAATCCCAGCTGATGTAGAAATATTGGAAAATAAAGAAACTATAGATTATAAAGCAGAGATGATAAACAGAGTGGAATTACAAATGATAAACAAAGAGATGAAAAATGGCCTGGACAAGAACTTATTGTTGGATTTACAAAAGAGAGTTTCTAAAGCCTTGAAGAAATTTTTGAGGAAAGAAAGTTTGAATGGAGAATCAATCCCATGACAGCAACTTGATAAATTAAAGACCAAGATTGTCAGAAGCAAAAGAAAGGAATATAAAGTTGACTTGTTTGATCAGGGTTAAAATAAGAACTATTTCTATAAAACTCTGGAAACCCTTTGTGGACTTTCTGCCAACACTTGGACAGAAATGACAATGATTTTTGGATTTGTGAATGGATGGGGGAGTTATGGGAAGAAGTGAATTATGTATGTAGTCTCAGAGGGGCTGGGGAAATATTAATTTGTACTTGTTGCAAGGAAGATCAGGAATCGCTTCTTTAAATATTCTTTTTTCTCTTCTCTTCTCTCTTTTCTTTTTTTCCTTTGCGCTTTGTATTTCTTTTCTTTCTATTCTCTTCTTTCTTTCTGATTACAGTTTGTATTATCTTTTAGTATTGTAAAAAAGTATTTAAAAAAAGACATTGGAACACAAGTACATAACTATGGCATTTGTGTAATGATGTCACTGTGCATGTGCTGCTATTTTGGCATCATCATGGTTTGCGGCACATACCATTAGCATAGATTGGTGGTCAGTCTGAGATCATTAAATCACTGTGGCACACATGCTTCCACCTTCTTCCATTAACATCACACTAAAATTAAATCTTTGTAAAAAATACCCTTTTTATTGAAAGTTAGTGCAAGTCCTCTGCATTTTTCCAAATAATTGGTTGCTTTAATTAAAGTTGCAGTGTTTCAAACTTCAAATGCATAAGTAGTTGCAGATAAAAGTACAGGAAATTTCTATAGAAAGAGTATAAAATGGTTCAGAATTACTTACAGTACAAAGGGTCTCAAAAGTTTTCTCAGAAACAAAAGATCCATCAAGCCCAAAAAGGAATATAGATGCATAGGACAACATTCCCCCAAGAATAATGAGATTGTTCATGTAAGGACTGGACATCTTTATCAGCCTTTGGGGGAAGAAAAAAGACAATTACTATAAATCAATTCAACATGATGCTTGTAGATCAATGTTAATCAGCCTAGCTCCTTTTAACATTTTAGACTGCAACTCTTATCATCGTCAGCAGTACTGTTCTTGATACGGTTCCTTCAAAAACCAAAGTGTTAATGGGAGAACAACAAAAAGGGGCTCAGAAAAACAAAACAACAACCAACAACAACTTCAGAACATAAGACATGTCACTAATGCCGAAGTATATAATACTATATTGCATTGTGTGCATGTATTAGATATAACTCCATCATTATAATTATTCTAAATAAGAGTAAGAAACTACTGTTTTCCTAAATAAAAAGTCTTCTGTGAAGAGGCTTGAAAACCCACAGAAAAAGCCCTGTAATGTTCCATAAAGAACTTTTCTAAATTACGAGGAGATAACTTCTGGTTCTTCAAACACTTCAGCCTTTATCAGTCCTCACCAACGAACTATACACTTAACTGGTAAATGGTCAAGAGATGAGCATACAGTGTTATCAAAATAACATACAGGAAAAAAAAAAACCCTATAAAAGGACAGAATCATTTGCCAAAATTGGACATTTTAAATGATGCTAATCAGCAAACAACTTGTGAGGCAAGAGCTTTGCTGTGCTGTTGGAAATGTCCAAACTTTGATCTGATAATGTATATAATATATATAACTTTTAGTGTCCCCCTTGTCCTGGTCAGATTATGCCCTGATTACCATGGGATTCTCTGTTGCTACTATCCACTGCAGGGAGGCAGGACCTGTTAATCTGTCCATCCTCGGCAACTGATGGACCCTGATGAACCCAGAGGGAGCTGGGGGTTGTTCCTACTGGTCTGCTGCATGGTCCACCTGAAGCCCTGGTGCCTGCTTGGAACAAGAGGGCTGCCAAGGCTTTGGATCAGATTGCATCTATGCAACCTCTCCCCTCTTGTTGATACTGTAATTCTCCATGGTTCATGGAAGAATTGAGGGAGATGAAATGAGACAAGAGACGTTTAGAGCATCACTGGTGCTAAGTCAGGGACAAACTCAACCAAACATTGGTTAGAGCTGCTATTAAAGCCTACCTCATGGCAGTAAGGGCAGTGAAGCAGCAATACTTCTCTGCTCTTATTGCATCCACAGATAGCCACCCCACAGCCTTGTTTTGTTGACATGTGCCTCTTGGATAGAGGGGGTTTGGAGATCCTACTACAAGGCCATGCGGGAGAATTTGCTCAGCATCTGTTGGACAAAATCACTCGAATTTGTTCTCAGTTGGATGCTGGTTTTGCTGCAGGTCTTAGGGAGATGCCCAGGACAGATTTTGGCCTGTTATCTGGGATCGGTTTGAACTTGTTGGACTGAGGAAGTGGACAGGGTCCTTAGGACTATGAGCTCAGCCACCTGCTCTTTAGATCCATGTCCCTTTTGGCTATCTAAAGCTGCCCAGTGTTGTGTGGGTGGGTTCTAGTGGTGGTGGTCAATTACTCCTTGAGTGAGGAGTTTGTTTCTCCATTCCTTAAAGAAGGAAGTGTTGGTTCACACACACCCCTCAAGAAACCATTGCTGGATCCCAATATATTGGACAATTTTCACCCAGTATCTAACCTCCCCTTTTTGGGGAAGGTGGCTGAGAATGTGGTTGTGCAGCAGCTTCATAGGACTCTAGATGAAGCAAATTATCCGGACACATTTCAGTCAGGATTCAGGCCTGGATATGGGATGGAAACAGCATTGGTCGCGCTTTTAGATGATCTCTGGTGGGGGTGGGATGGAGGTTGTACATCTACCCTTGTTCTTCTTGACCACTCAGCAACCTTCAGTACCATCAACCATGGTATCATTTTGGACCTGCTCCAGGGATTGGGGATGGATGGCACTGTATTGTGCTGGTTCTCCTCCTTTCTCCGGGGTTGATACCAGTTGTTGGTGATTGGGGAGGAGAGATCCTGCCCTTTGCCCCTTCTTTGTGGGGTTCTGCAGGGTTCAATGCTCTCTCCTCTCCTCTTCAACATTTACATGAAGCCACTGGATGAGATCAGCCACCACCATGGGGTGCTGTATCATCAGTACACTGATGATACCCAATTATATCTTTCTGCCCCTGGCAGATTAAGCAATGCTGTTGATATTCTATCATGGTGCCTGGAAGTTGTGGGGGTCTTGATGGGGAACAACAGGCTTTAACTGAATCCTGGCAAGACTGAGTGGCTCTGGATTTTGGGGCCCTCTGGTTCAGGGACTATGCCATCCTTGGTACTGGATTAGGTTGCACTGCTCCAAATAGACCTGATATGCAATCTGGGGGTCCTCCTGGACTCACAACTCCTGCTTGAAGACCAGGTGGCAGTCATGGCTAGGGGGATCTTTGCATAGCTGTGTGTTGTGCACCAGTTGCACCCGTTTCTGGACTGGGAGGCTCTCCTCACATCACTCACGCCCATGTCACCTCCAGGATAGACTACTGCAACATGCTCTACATGGGGTTGCCCTTGAAGAGTATTTGGAAGCTTCAGCTGGTACAAAATGTGGCAGCACAGGCAGTTATGTGTGCCTCTAGAATGGCACACGTCACACCTCTGCTCCATGGGCTACAATGGTTGCCAGTTTGCTTCCAGGTCCAATTCAAGGTGCTTGTTTTGACTTTTAAAGCCCTTTATGGCATGGGGCTGGGCTACTTGAGGGACTGCCTACACCTGATTACATTTGCCCATCCCATTAGTTCAGGCAGAAGAGGTATGCTATGAGTCCTGTCTGTGAAGGAGTTACATCTGGTGGGATCTCAGAGATGGGCCTTTTCTGCCATAGTTTGCGTCCTGTGGTACATCATTCTGCCCAAAGTAAGACTGTCCCTGTCCCTGACATTTTTCCAGAAGTCCCTTAAAACATGGTTGTCTCATCAGGCTTGGGTCTCTCAAGGAAGTAATGAATTAGTGAGATGGCTGAATTGCCTATCGTGATAGCTCTCTCTGCTACTCTGTCATTGGTAACTTTGGTGTTTTTAATTGTAGAATGCTTTTTAATTGTTAGTTTTTATGATGTGTTTTTATTATACGCCATCCAGAGTAATGTTCTGTGAGATGGATGGCTATATACGTGTGATAAATAAATAAATAAAACACAGAATATTAACTGGAAAATTCTTTTAAAATCAGCACTGGGATATAGGAAAAGTAGGTAACAAAGGCAAAGCTGTTATTAGCCCAATCCTGCATATAAATGACTGAATCACTGAAAACTGAATTCCACTTTGTAAACCTGAAGGCCAGCTATATTGTCTAATTGGCCTTTCAGTGGTCAAAGCTAGAGTTTTTCCACCAAGATTTCCTTCCACATAGATTTGAATTTATTGTTTAGAGTTTATCTTCTAAAGGGGCCATGCTGATAATACAAAGACAACTTTTATCCAAAGATTGAGAAAGAAGCAGATCCATGCTTTCGTCAAAACTCCAAGCGTGGTTCTGCATTTCACACACATCTGGAAAATGCAAGAACAGAAGGCAGGAATTTAGACTGAATGATGTCTAGCTTCTCATGTTCTCTGTCGGAGTAAATATGGATTCTTACAATATCTGGGATAGCACTTTTGTCTCCCCTAAGGCAGTAGGGTTGTAATAGTATGCAGTACACAGTTTGGGTTTGTTTTTTTTTAAAATAGCAACCACACTATTCTGGATGCACTCTGACATTTGAAATGTTAGAAAGGTTTATTTGTTAAATTAAATTCCTAGCTAATTGTCACCTATAGTGTTTTT